ACAAATCAAATAGCGCCAGAACGGACCCCAGTAAGCCAATTGTTGGGGATCTAGGAGTCCCCATAATGGCCGATCTCCGGTTTGTTCATTGCTCACATGATTCCCTTAAACACGCCACGTCAGCGGGTGAGTCACGCACGACAACCTACTGACAGCCCCATCTGTATTGATCCGCCTTCATCCAATGGGTCAAGGGCATCCTTGACCTATATAAGAGGAGAACAAACCTTGGTGCTTAAGTCATTGTCACTGCTGATAATGATTTAAGCCCTCAGCGAAAAGTGACGCATCTGCCTAATGGCCAGGCCCTGGAGACACGGGGAATGTCCACGCACCATTATTAATTATTCGTGTAAAGTTGCATTCACCTGGACTTCACCTGGGGACAATAAGTTAAATTTTTGCCAAACATTTCCTAATTAACTTTGGCTTTTGCACTGATTAGTCATCAAGCCTTGTCTAAAATCCTAAGCTGCTTTGATGGTTGGAAAGCTCCAGATACTGGACGCGTTAATTCTTTTATAAAATGAAATATAAAAAAGCTTAAAGCTGATGAATTATCGAACAAAGCAATGTTACATTAGAAGCGATTGGTATGTGTAACTGTCTACCGTAATTTAAACCATTAGCGCAACTAAACCACTAAATGCTGTGGCATTTGTCATTTAAACAGACGACAACACATTACCGAGAAGGGTTGTGTGCAAAATGGTTGGAAATGTCAATGGATATAAGCAGCATCGTATTCTAGTTAATTTAAAATAGTCTTGCATCTTCCTTTGAGTACAGAACCGCATTTGACAGTTAGAGTCACGCCTGTTCAATTATCGTTTAAAAGGCATGATCTGAAAACTTTCCAGGTGTTGCCAGTCGAGATATTCTCTTTTAAAAACGCAGGGTAGGTTTCAGTTTAACATTTCGAACCGTTTCCACAATATCTGGAAGCAAATTTTTTATTCAGCTACAAGCCTTGCAATCCAGAATCGGTAGCGGAAAACTTCAGTCATTTCTAATGAATTACTGGTCGTTTTTTTTAAATTGAAGCTGCTTTATCAAATGTCGAAACATTAATCGAGTAAAAGCAGCGGCTGGAACTGAGTTAGAAGTAACTTCGCTACACATTTTGCAACCTATCGAATTAAATGATGCAAACCACTTTGCATTTAATGACTGTTCAAATTATAGTTTCCTAAAATAACTACATTATATTCAGCGTACTTGAGGTTTCAGAGAAAACGGTGCTGACAAGGGTTTTGCAACGAATTCATGTGTGTGAACACGACTTCACCAGGAAAAACTTTAAGCAACTCCCAAAAAACGTGATTCAATCTTCGTAAACTTAAGCAATTAACTCCAAACAAACCCAGTTGCCAAATTCCTAAAAGTTCTTACACACGTTTAAAGGAATGATCTATTGTTTTGTGTCCTGCAGCTCGACCACTGAAGTAAATGGTTTCTTAACTACGTGAAGGTATTTTTTGGCTTATTTCGCACCTTCGGAACCGATAAAAGCAAAATATTTTACTATAAACTTAAATTATCTTTTTATGTCCAAAAGACACCATAGAGGAATAATTCCCACGTGTGCTGCATTGTACCCTTCTACCGCAATGGTTAGCTCACACAAATTATTTCTGCGTTTTTGAGACGAGCAGTTATTGGAGATTGGAAAGCCAAACAAAACCACTGGTAGAATTAACGAAGCATCACAAGATCAGTCAGGTTACATCGGTTAACACTACCTAAAGGAAGACACTGTGCAAGTCCTTGGCCCTCTGTAAGACAGCGTTAACAGTACCCCCGGTTTTCTCAAACATGTACAGTTTTAAAACAGGCGTTCAGTCCTGAAACACAAAAAATCGTTTTACGAACACGCCAATTGCGCATCTTAAATCCAAATGTTCGGAAAATCGATCAATCCTCCCATGGATCGATTTCTCGTTGCAAACATGGTTTTTTGAAGTAATTTACGTACTACTATAAAACACCATCTTCCTGCATATGGTCACATTGTTTTTGAGTCATTCTGAGCTTATCTAGAAACGTTTACTGTGCTGGCTCTGGAGAATACAAATTTATGCCCCTATTTGTTGTGATCCGATTTTCGGAAAATTAACATAAAACTGTCTTCCGATAATTTTAGTCGACTTTGATTTGGCCCACCAGGAATGACTTTTCTGGAGAAACAGATGCCTATTTGCGCTACTCGTCTCAACTTATCACTCATGATAAAACCGCTTTCCACGACGGCCCTTCTGTTTGTTGTCAGATCGTTTCAAGCCTGACTCCGGTTTCTCCGGCGTTGCCCAACTCTACTTTTGATGCAATAACAACGATATTTGGAGAACCTCGTAGATTATTTAACCTAGTTTTTGTCTTGCAGATATTGAGAGGAGCCTGACCGATCCTCATCACCAAACGGTGTCATTAAACATCACGTGAACCACAGTGCCTCGATAATAGTTGTGAAACCTAGGCATGGTTTACTCAAAGACTTCTCAATACTTCTGCGGTCCCATCACACTTGACGTAATCCAGTCCTCCCGTGGTTGATTAGCTAAGCACTACCTTACGATCCTCTAGTGAACAGTCCCTATGATGCCCGAGAAGGGAGACAAGACAGGCGACAGCGGATGCGACAACTCATTAGCGTCACTCCAGTCAACTGTCCGCAAGCGGATAGGTGAGCGGATAAGACTTATCAATGAAAAAGGGCGAGTCATTCACACCGTCAAATCAGCAAACAGGCTTCACTCAGGCGCGATCGCTGATAACCCCCCCCCCCCGGCTTTTTTCTTGAAACCCACCGACAAGATTCTCCTAACCTACCTACTACAACACTTTAACTTTATGTAATACTGTCAGAATCCCGATGCCGGTTTCAAAATTAAAATGTGTACCTTCCGTGACACTACAAATTTGCTTGTTGTATCCCACTGACCATAGTAGTATCTTGAGAACTTCACACCTGGTGAAATCCAATCTGGGTATATTTATAAGCCTGGACCATTGCACCACGCCTTAACAAGCTTCGCGATTGTTCTCACACCACTCATCAAAACAATAGTGCACCCAAGTTTACCTCGGAAAATATGTCTGTATTGCCGATTGCGAAATCACGCGTAATGCTGGAAGCAGTGACGCCTTGGGACACATCCACTCATCTACGAGATACAAATTAAACTCAACTCCAGATCTTACGAAGCGCGGATTTTGACTGCAAAAAATTCTGGCGACCTTTCGGTACTGCGCACACTAAACTTCCAGCATACGACTCGTAAGGCAGGCTACATTGGTTGGTAACAAAGGCAGGTCTAGTAAGACTATCGGTAAAACAACTGCCAGTAAATACTTCATTGCGTTTCACTAGCAGGTGCTACAACGCACGAATTCAACACATCGGATCTGTTTCGTAACAGCTTTATTATTGGTTTCCCGGTCAAGCTTGGCGGCCACAATTAAGCAGAAAACACTTTTGGAGAAATCCGAGAGGCAACAAGTTGATGGCCTTTAAGTCACTTGAAAATACAATTGGATGAGAATAAGCAGCGAGACCCCGAAAGGCGCATTCATGGAGGTCAAAGAAGAAACAGATAATTTTGCAATTTGTACACACAGTGCCACGCACTAGACTCGTGCACACAAGTCTCGACTCACCATAGTGGATTCCTGCTTCTCGATTCTTAAGCACTTTATGAATACTTTTCAATTTTTGGGTACTGCCATGGTAAATCTGACCACGATCACCTTTGCAAATTCTTGATTAGTAGCTAAAAAACATTATCCTAAAGTCTGCTAGCCTGATGAAGCAGTGAATTAGTTGGGAGCACACAAACTGCGCCAGATAGGCACGTGACGAGGCAACCTAGAATACCTGGAAAAATTGTAAGAGAGGCTACCCAATCCACACCAACAAGGGACTTCTACCCGCTCCCATGGGTGCCATGTCCACACCATGTAACTCCCCCCTAACTACTGTGCGATCTCACCCCAGAATTTCGGTGCATCGTAGTGGACTTATCCAAAGAGGTACGAATTCCGTCCTCTTGGGATTGCCTGTTGAAATCACTAAGGCGAGGAACCACAGTTGTTCGATCAAGATGGATTAGTCTAGACTTCACAACCATTGCTTAAGCGCCAGCAGTCCCACCGATTCATGCAGGAGACAGACACACAGGCATCAGACCAATTCACGACCCGCAAACGAATACTACGCGTACAAAACCGATACCACAACACCAAATCTGTCTTAACGTGCCGCTTTCTCCTTCCCACACACCCTATTTACGGGCTGCACCACATACTCTCACAAAACGGCTGATCTCATACCCACTACACTTTAGCGGATCGCGAACCCCGAATTCGGAAAATCAATGCGGGAATTTGCAGAACCTTTCGTCGTAAGAAAGTGACGTGACACATGGAGTAGGGAAGCGATGCCTTGAGGCGACAGCCATCCAGAAATCGGGGACCAGGCTTACCTATCGAATAGAAGCGCCTACAAAACCCTACAAGTAAAGACGACTCAATAAAACGAAGGTGTATGGCGGTGGGCGGTGCTATACATATTTAAAAATAAATACAAACATACACAATTTTATACACGTTAATAGAGGAAGACAGGCAAAAGCTAACTTGACTAAGACAAAAAGGCCGCAACAAGATATTATAAATGTACAGCGAGGATCTTTTGCCCGACGGGAGTATCTGCCTGCGGGTATGAAAATGATTTATGTACAGGAAGAAACATCTCCAGGTGCATAGTCACTATACAGCGTTTGAATGTTGTGTGCGCGCGTGTGTGTTAGTGCTTAGGATAAATCGCTGCGGGGCAGTGAGAAACAATATAAGGGGTGGGGAGCTGCCTCAAAATAGTTTCGGAGGGGAAAATATGAGTGTGTACCGAATGGGCTAAATTTACCTCTCAATTTATATGCATAAGTAAAATTTCACTGGTGCGCGAGGACAGGACAAACATACATGAAGATAATCATTGGTGGCTAAACAGTGCCGGCTGAGGCCGTGGCAACGCCACCCGGAGAAGTCGGCCAATTAATTTCAATATTTTCGTTTTCATTCATCATGTAGTATTCATCGCCTTGTCGGAAGGCAGGAGCACCACTCGAAGGTCCAGCATTCGTGCTGCTGCCACCGCCGATTCCAGACGAGGAATTGCCGTCGACGTCCAGTAAATCATTTGCGTCTGTCGTCAACAACTCCGCAGCAGCTGCGCTTTCGCCGTCTGCTGCGCTTACACGGTAATCAGCAGATCCACTGCCCAGATGTCCATTATACATGCGAATGGGCCGCACCGTTGGAGTTATCGAGTCCAGTGGGATGGGAGGGGATAGGATATCGCCTCCACCACAGGTACTTAGTGATTGCTGGGTCTGTCGGCGATTGGGGAGGGTGAGCACCCGATTACTTACCATGTGCTCAGAGGGATTTAGTGGAGTGCGTCCTCGTAAATTATCCAAACCGGCGAATTTCCTTGCATGACTGATGGCACTAACCTTGGAAACATGATTTCCTTGAGAATATGTCGCGAAGTAGTCGTCCGAGACACTGGTACCACCACTTTGGGTTCCTGACAATCGCTTATAACTAGTCGGAATTTGAGTAGAGCTGGCCATTGGATCGTAGACATAGTCCAAGGCTGCAGATTGGTTACTGCTTACAAAATGGGGGTAAACTTCGGAGTAAACGTCCGAAATTGAGGAGCTGCCTTGCTGGACGTTAACAGCTGAATCAACATTGTATAATTGGGCGCTGTGCATACGATGATGCCGACAGTATAAGTGATCAGGATACGGTAGGGCATATCTAAATAGGTTGATGAGGAACAGAAGGCTATCTTACGGTGTCAGAATTTGCTCCTTGGGACTGGAAAAGCGGGGTGTCGTGTGCACCCTGCTTATATTATCGCTACAATATGTTATTGAGAGAAAGAAATGATCTACCTTTCATGGCGTAATTGACACTCTTCTGAGCAATATCTGGAACGTATGGCCGGCTTTGAACAAGCGGGCCCGGCACAAGGTCGCATTTCAGGAAGAACAACGTCCTCATCAGAATCGTAATTAGGAGGGACATCCGAGGCCTCAAGAAGATCTTCGTTGTCTAAAATACCGCCAACGCTACGCACAACACGTGGCTCAGTGTCATCTTGACGATTTTGATGCCCACCAAAACGGGACGACCCATTTCTATCAACACGATGAGAAGGCATTCCATAAGACGTCACGAGATCTGGACTTTCGAGAAAGTTCATGTCGGAGTTAGGACCCCGTCGACTATATGAAGGTTCAAGAACTCGGTCGTGAACATGGCGCCCTGATGGACCCAAGCCACCGGGCAAATGGTCGCCCCGACGCATCTTACTTCCAATTGTTATGCCACTTTTGTGGGATCCCGGCAAAAATCGAGAAGACGATGAGAAATCGTCAAATTGAGCTTCGTAGTCAATATCAGACAAATGACTGCAAAAAGGAAATAAGCAAATAAAGAACCTTACCTTTGATTGGGACTAACTTTTGAGGGTTGGCGCTGAAAATCATTAGCAAGGCAAATCTTCGCCTTATATAAGCAATATTGTCGAGTCCGGCCCTGCTTGAACTTGGAACTTCGACACACGTCGCAATTCCCACAATTCCCCTTCGTTTTGCAATTTTCACATTCGCCACATGGTTGGAAGTAGCGGCCCCGTGCGACGGGACGCCGCCACGCTTGCTGAAATTCTGAATCATTTGCCAAACACATTTTTGCCTTGTAGAGGCAATACTGTCGACTGCGACCTTGCTTGAATTTCGGACTTCTACAAACCTCGCAGGTTCCGCAGTTATCCCGTGTTTTGCAGCTGTCGCATTCACCACAAGGTGGAGGATATCTGCTTCGCGCAATTGGGCGTCGCCACTGGTGTTGAAATTCTGGATCAGCCTGGCTTTCGTAAGACGGGGGTGTCATTCGGCTGTACTTTGGGCGATGTGAGTACGGCATTGCGTGGGATTGTGAATAACTTGATGATGGGGAGGCGAACTGAGAGTGATCGAGATCAAATTCGTCTTCCGAAGAATCACCGCCACGAAAAGGCATTGCATTAGGTGCGCGCCGAGGTTTAGGCTGGGTAATTTGGGAATGTTTGCGACTACGTTTGCGTGATTGAATGCCACTGAACAGATCAGCGTAGTCATCCGTTTCGCCAATAATAGGACTGGCGATTTCGGAAGACCTGTGTCTGCTTCCATATGACTGACGACCATTTGAGTGTTCCGGTTTGAACTCAATTTGCAACTCGGGTTTTTCGTCTAGAGAAAATGATATAGAAAACAAAAAAGAACTCACCTCTACAGGCCTGGCAGTAAAACTTTTGAATACATTCCGCTTGTTTTGGGGTGACGTTGATACACTCACCGTGATACCACTCCTCGCAGGCATCACAAGCGCTTAAGGGTCTATGAAATATGATGCTACTTACATCATGAACGAATCACACTGAGACGACCTGCACACACAGTAAACGGGTTCATCGGAAAGGTCATCTTCTTCACGAGTACTCTGTCTACGGGGCTTTTTACGTATGCGCCTCTGTAAAAGTGATGAAAAGAACATCACTTAAGAGGATAATAGAGGTCAAGAAAAAACTAAAAAATTAAACCATAGACTTTATTAACGTAGCAATTGTTTGCGTTTTTAGATTTAAAAGTCAAAACCACACATGGAAAGTAATCAATTTTACCCCTTTCATTGTTTTTAGGAGAACCGAAACTGATCCACTTCGACAATATGGAAGGCACTAATAGTATATTAAAACAAGGAATTTCGAGATGTTTCTAATTAATCTAATCAAAGCTTTTTGTGTTAAATTATATGCTCAATTATATTTACATCTTAAGTTTAAACCAAACAATCAGAAATTAACTTAAAAAATGTTTTTCATTTAATCGTGATGAATCTTCATTAATTGAATTGGCGCAAAATTTAGGTTGACCTTAATCTTTTCATACACATCAAAGTAACCTAATTGGATTTTGCACTCTATCGTTTGCAAGCTCAAATAAGTGTGTGAGGAATAAGGAATGAACTTAAATATTATTGCAACGGTGACAGAAAATTAAAGAACGAGCATTTTAAATAACATTAACACTTATAGAATCAGTTTACAAGACAATAATTCATTAAAAACTCGTAAAAGCTTTTAAAAAGAAACAATTTATTATCATTTCTTAAAAGAGGTACGCAGCAACATTTCCTATTTGATATAAAATATTGCAAAACCGGTGCTTACTTGGGATAAAAATAACATTGAATTCCTTTTTTATACATAATTGTTGACTTCAAAACAAGATCACAAGAAATTCGTAGTTTTGTTATATGCGTAATCCTAGAAATTATACATGTCGATTTGTTACAGCAACGATGATGTGAATGTCATTGTATAAATTTGGCTGCTTAATTAAGCAATCAAAATTTATTCTCGTGTAATAAACAGTGGGAATGCCAAATTACTTGTCTCCAGCTTTTCGAAAATTAGTATTTAGTTAGAAATAAAAATAACCTCAGCATTAAATTTTTACCTATCTTAGAATCTTTACAATATAACGTTTAATCTGTGTTATTTGAGAAAGCACATATGCAGATATCTCTTGTGGACACATTCCTTATGCATCGTACTATTACGAAAATTGTGGTGCCTGAAACGAATAATATTCGAATAAGACGTGTAGGTAACGGAAATCTTTTTAATTGGATATTATTGATATGTCAGTTGTAGTGTGAGATCACTGTCTTTCGGGAAACAAAACATAATTTATTTTACTTTTTTGAACCACAGTCTTTCGTATGCTTAATATGGACTAATGTCATTATAAACCTATAGATATAATGCATCCATTTCAAAAAAAGACAGTAGTTCTGCTGGAAACATATCATTAATGGCAACAATGGATGTTTCTGGCATTTATTCGCAGATTTAAATTTAAAAAGTCAAAGTCGATACGCATACAACAGGTTTAACAAACTTGAGGTACACGATTTGTTAGTATGGAATTCATTTATTTTGCAAGTCTTGAGAAATTACTTTGAGGGGGTTTGATTGGTTAATTCCATCCCCCCTTGTAGCGCGCACTTTGGAGAGCCTTTTTTAACGTTAGCTTGCCTTTACAGTTGTTAGACAGGGTAGTAATGTCCCTATTACCTGTTAATGTATTCTTTTCTTCATTTAATTTACGGCCCCAAAGTAACTACAATTTACTGGGTCTACATTTTTAGGACTGTTTGATAACCTAGAACAAATTAAAGAAAAGCAATCAAACGTTTTCCTGCGTAATGTCTGTGATTTTGAGACTTTGCCTTGTCAACGAGAAGCTGCTGAAAATTTTTCCAACCTCTCATCTAGAGCTGGATGTGACCCACTGTCTCTTCAGCTTCTCAAGCCTCGACACTCTTCCGTGTTAATGCCACTAGACTGGCCTTTTTTCGGGTATGCTTTTACTTAATAATTATCCGGCTGCCCTGTCAACTCGTGATTTTCAAAGAAGCAATGCCTTAGTGCTCTAAAACCTTGCTACAGAAATTGTCTTCATATTTGTGGGTTGTCATATAAGGCACTGTCTTCAATAATCTCACAAATCTATAATACGCTTTTTTCATACCAATTTTGTTTAAAAAACGCGTTATGGTGATATGAATCATTGCGAGTTTTTTTGGCTATCTTTACGCTCATCGACAGAGGATTCGCACTTTTCTGTATCTATTATACCAGCCTTTTCAGGCTAATTTTATGACTTGTTCGCAAACCAATTAAGACGCAACGACAGCTCACAAACTTTAATTAGCATTTACTCATTTTGAGCAATTTTAATGCCAGAGATGCACAGCAAATCCGCTCTATCTAATGTAATTGCCGTTTTACCAAAACTCTGTCGATCTTAGCAATAGTTTCTGGACCTTCTTTGATGATTATAAAGCCTGACTCCACATTACTAATGTCTTCTATGCTTATGGTCACCGCTGTAGATCAAGGATAAGGTGTTTAATGTCGAAACGGGATTAGCGTTTTCACTGTATTCTGGTAGTTTCTATGAGGGAGTGTACTTCTAATTTATATGTCAAACTCAATTAAGGTTTTGGGCTTATTATTTGAGTTTCTAAAGCTTCCCCGCAAGACAACCCGAATAAGTCTGAGAATCTGCATTGAAAGATGTGCTGCGCTTGATTTTTGTGTACGGCTGTGCAATAAATGAGTACTATTCGTTATATTTTATATTTGAAGTAACAAAATGCCCATCTGAAACTTTGTTTCTAAGGCAACATTTGTCCTAAGTTCCTTTCTCTCTTAAAATACAGACGTAGTTCTTCGCACCAGAATTCATCAATGGTTTTTTCGAGCACCCTTCCTTATGGATGCGAATTGGATGTTTGGTGTGCGTCAGTACACTTATCATGGAATATCTGTGTTAGTGAGACCCGGTGTACTTCTGACCAATTAACGGAAGCATTCAATCTCCTACGAGGATTAATGATGCGTTTGGATGGTATTAATCCCCTGGATATTTTTCCTGCACTATCTGCATCAACTGCTTATTCGCTATTAGCTCCACCAAGTCTCGTTCCAATCGACTGCCTTTCCACAATTGAACACCTCCACGCATTTTTTTCGGCTCTAATTCATGGGTATTTCGGGTGCGTTTTGTTTATGTTGCTGCCATTCTTGACTCACAAAATTACACCTCACCCTCTTTACGTCCAATAGAGGAATTCAAAGCCCTCCTTTCAAAGCGCTTCTGTGCAGAATTACAGGTATACACAAGCTAATGTATGTTGTGGCCTGTTTGGGAGTATTTCTTCAATTATCCTGCAAGACGGGCCGATTGAAGGTGGTTTTTTCTGTTCTGCGTTGGCTGTCGAAGCTGTTCAAGGACTCAGAAACGTACAAGCAAACCTTTACGCAGATAAATTTTTCCTCCGGACCAGGCAATGATGGTAGTGGCTCCCAGGGTAAGCAGTTCAGTGTCTCTGTTGATTCTTGTGACATAAATTTTGTGAAAATTCCCTGTATTCTCGCCTTTTAGCCACTGTTCCTGCCGAAGATGCTTTATATGGATTCAAACGTTGTCTGTCACTTCTTCGAGAAAATGCGTACCTAAATAGACGACAATTACGAATCCTTGGCATTGTCGACTTCTCGTCACCGCAACCTCCACCTCAAACCTCAAATGATCACATTCTCTCTTTGGCTAGGTGAACTAATTACGAGAGAGGACCCACTTTTGCGTTATTTCGTGCCACTAACGCGCGCTTTTTTATTCCAGTCATTTAGTGAGAGCGTGTCTCGTGCTTTTAACTGAGGCGACTAGCTCCCAGATTCTGTTGTGGTCCACCTACCTCAAAACAAATCACACTACCGAAAGAGACCTGCAGCATTTTCAATCCTGTGCATACCAGGTGTACCTCCTTCGTAAAGGCTCTCTGCCCCGGGAGATTCACTTTCACACAAACCCCAGTAAGGATATCGCCTGGCGAGGAATTCCGCCCGTAGGAGTCATGGCGGTTGACGGTGGTGACGGGTGGGTCTACTCCGTAGATTATGTGGATCGCGGTGATGTTGTCACCTTTATTCAAGTTGTGGACTCGGCATCACCATCGCCAGCAGCATCAACGACGCCAAGTCTGCGATACCAGCGATGTGTGCCACAGATGGACAGGAAGGCAGGCTATTGTGTCTGTCCCCAGACCTACCAGACAAGCCACCGCATAGCGCACCTGGCCTCGCAAGCCCACTCCCGCTACGTTGCTGTTGTAACAGCCTGCAACCGCCTCTTCGTGTGGGAGGCTCCCGAGAACGTGGAGGAGTTTCCTCTCAGTGGCATGGACACTGGTGGTGAAGATACGCAAAAGATAGCCAACAGACAAAGGCTTTCTAGCCTAGGTGAAACCATGTCGTGAGTTTGTTACCCTGCAGTGGTTTGGGTTGTGACAATTTGAATAAATCCAACAATGCCACGCAAATGTTTTTGCGAAGTGACCTTGTCGATGTAATAAACCAACAAGCGTGTCTGCTTGATAGCGCCATTTAGGTGATCTAATTATTTAATCTTACGCTCGCCATGTCATTCAGCCTCTACAGATCCTGACACTTATGCTCGTATCACCCATCACTTGGGCCATGTGAACCTTTTCGGTGTATCCAAACCTCCATTTAATGATTTCATGGCAATTTTGGCACATACACAAATGAGCTAGTTCTGGTCGCTGCTAGGTCGCCAATCTTGTTGTTTTAGCATTTTAACTGGAACCTAGTTATGAGTACAACTAAAGCTTATCCCCCTCCACATTAGGTGGTACAATTTTTTATTCATAAATCCAATACTTTAGTTCCAACCATACAGATCAAACGCAAAATACGGTTGGTTCAAGTAAGTGATTATTTGCTGTGCCGTTCACTGGGACTAGTAGACTTTATTATTTCATTGAATTAGTGAGTTTAGGGACTAACATAGTTCATTTAAGGGCTCTTCTACTCGTGATTCAGGCAATGACTGGTTCAGCTGTGTCAGATGGGTTGCGATCGTTTTCCCGGCTCCATACATAAAGACGAATTTACTGGTGTCAGTCGTGTCGGCCGAAGGTTAAAAGGTTCGTCATGTACACAGACCACATATTTTTTTATCTAGTCACCGCAAGTAAACTGAACAACCAAACAAAAATCCCGACATCAATAAATACCAAACCCATTCTTACTTGTAAGTGCTAGTGAGTACAGAATAAACTGCCATTCACAGGAATTTATACCTCATTTTAGCAACAGTGTCACGAGTTTTGACAGTTACTCAGTTGAAAAGACTCTAAAAACTTATCTCTTGCATTCTGTTAACCTTTCTTGTTTACAGACTTAGGGCTAAAGACGACGCAGCTATTTTAGACAATACGGCTCCAAGGCAGACGTCCTTGGTGTCTTCTGCCATTGGTCGCATTGCCTCCATGTTGACCAATATCACTAGCCCCGCTTCGAGGGGTCTTATCGATAAGGACCTCGACTCTGCCCCTTCTTGGCCCTCGATGGAGGTCGATCTTCGGGAGTGGTATACTCGGCGCCAGTATTCCAACCACTTCTACCGTGACAGCTGCCTCACTCCACGCATTTTGAAACTCCACCTTCTCTCCGGAAGCCCTCCACGCCTCGTTATGGCAACTTTAACTGTGGGCGTCCTCGTCTGTCGGATAGTTTTCGCCACGTCTCAGCTTCATTTGCTCTACCGCCTACCAAGTCCACAGGCTTTGGACTGTGCCGTTGCAGAGGGAGAAGTGACAGCTGATGATTTCCGCGTGGCGGCCATCAGCAGTTCGACGGCACTGGACGGAATTGTTGTTGTGCTCTGGCAGTACGATCTACCGACCCAGATGGCTCTCTGGACTTCTACAGTCGGAGTGGAAGGGAGCACGGAGGTACTCGACTGTGGAAAACTCTACAGCCGCATGAACCCCGCCTACTCCAAGCTCATCCGTCCACCTGTCCCTAAGTCGATCAGTGCGTTGTTATATCATTTGTAGATGCTACACACGTTAGTCACGTCTAAACATAATGCCTAAATCCTGGGATCAAGTCATTGAATTTAATCGGTGAGTTTGTTAAACAAAATCAATCCAAAAGTGCTCACGTTTCTTGTGAATTAATGAACATTCTGACCATCGCGAAAGATTTCTTGGTGAAGTAAGCTCATGGCGGTCGCGTGATTATCTCTCACGGGAGGATTGCCGAGGACGGAAAAGAGGCCAATACTTGGAATATTGGTGCTACGGCAGTCCAATATCATTAGTGGTTTCTAGTGCTACTTCTGTTTCGGATTCGTTCTCCCCGAGTAATTTCGAGAGATTCTCCGTCGTATAGTTCGACATCTCTACTGTTCTGTTGTTTGGACCGATTAATTCTATCTTCAAAAGTTTGCGAAGCCTCTCTAGTAGTTTGTCGTGTATGGACCTAGATATGTCGGTGGAGTTGTCTTGGCTACCCGATGCTGTTTGCTTGCAAACGCTAGTTGTCATCCCAGCTCACTGCACACACTGCCAGCGGACATTGTCACGACGACTTAACGGTGCATTTGTTGTAGATATCCGTTACATAAATTTCATTTTTCAGCCTTATTTAGTTGCCATTTATAGACAAGATGAGCTAGTTGATGAGGTCTACAGTTTCCGCAGCATCACCCAGGTCGTCTGCGTTGCAGAGCTAATTGGCGCTCTCTCCGTGGACGGGGAGGTATTCGTCTGGTAAGTTTCGTGTCCGTATTAACCACTGAGACGACCCGTGGGGTTGGTTTCTGTGGTGCTTTTTGTCCCTTTATTGTGAAGTAGAAGCACGTGTTCGAGTTGAGGCTAGGGTGATCTAAGGGGTTTTCGGTGTGTTGTAAATAACGCCAAGATTCTGTGTACTATTTATTCGTCTCCCTCTTGTGATGTTCCTTTCTTCACGAAGCGGAGCGGTACGTGTGTTGTGTGTGTGTTAACACGAACCACGTGGGCCTGAATTATATTAGAGGTGCTGGTACCCATTTAATCTTCTAGATTTGTTCTGCCTCGTTAAACCACTACGTGGCTCCCTTCTGAATTAAAAAAATTTCAAATTAACTGTTATCCCGTTGTCTATTTCGTTAAACACCCACAATTACCCAGTTTGGCTGATTTTTCTCAGTCAAAAACTGATTGGTTGGATTTCATGCAATTTAGTTAGTGGCTTTAATAGAATTTCAGACTGAGTTTTGTCCATAAATGACATCTGCGTGAGTCTGTCCGTCACCTCATTTGTGTCCCCCCCCGAAAAATTCGATGCTGGGCACTCACGAAATTCTGCGCATTCGTTTGCAGTGTGTGCGTGTGTTCAAGTAGAACGAAAATCTGTGCGGTTCGTCAGCTCTCGCTTAAGCACGCCAACAAAGAAGGCTTGTGTGTGGCTAAGTGGCTCCACTAGTTTATCGAAATGCTCCAGTCGTAGTACTTCAAAAGCGACGCCTGCCACGGTGGTTGTCCGAATTTTTCAGCGCAGACTTATCCATCTCTAGTAACCTCGAGTCCGCCAGTCTTCCTCCTGGAGCCTCACTCACTCGCGCACATCCGACTACCTGGGTCAAGTTGGAGCACAGCAACGGTCTCAGCATCCGGGCCGGCTGGATTTCTACGACTTTTCCCGAATCCGAAGAATCGCTGCTGTCGGAGGCCTTTCAAGCACCACGGGTCCGTTCTCGCCCACCTGGGATTATTGTTTCTGTCTGTCCGAAAAGTGCGTACACTGGGCAACTGGGCTTCCTGCGGTTTTCGTCTTTTTAACTGGTTATTTTTTTTTTCTACCGTTCAGGCGGCTCAAGGTGTGCGGGTGGCTCGATTGTCTGTGTTTCTGCCGTCGATGGGTCCATGGAAATGCTAGATTGGATTGATAATTCAATGCCTGGTGGGCTTCTTGGGTTGGAGTTTGTTGGTCCGGTAAGTATTCGCTTCAAGCCCCTTTGATAGTGCATGAGTGCTCCGTGTCACTCTAGAATTATTCTCGTTCACTAGTCAGTGACGGTGAGTCGCATGTCCCCTGCTTTGACCTCGGCAGACCAAATGAGCTTCCACGCATTAACTAACGCCTATGTAATCTGTGTTCACTCTGGCGACTACCTCACAATTCATTTCCATTATTTATACTAGGTCGAAGAGGAACGCAGTTTTTATACACACCTTGTAAAATGCCGATGCCCTGCTACTTAAGTACACCAGCAGTATTAACCTATGGTCATTCTCTGGACGTCAGATTCTCAAAAGAGTTAATTTTACTGAAAAGCCCGCATGTTTCGGGGTAATTCGTAAGTGCATGGATAAGTCTTCTCGAGTAATTGTAAACTATCAGTTATATTAAGCTAGTACTTCGCTTCACACACACACGTGTCGGCTATTAATTGTGCTGCACGATCACTACCTTTGTTACCATTGACACCGTGATTCGACTAGTCGAAAGAGTTTATGGAAGGCTTTATGAATGTGACCTTTCGTAGCTGATCGTATTAAAACACTCGAACTTGACGGAAAACCAATTTCGCAAACACTTGGGTGCTGAAAACGTACAAACGGCTGCCCAACAAAGAAGGCCTATTTTCGATTCGATCAGTTTCTGAGCTAGTGATCACGCCTTATAGGGATCGTTCTCTGCTTGTAAAGCAAAGCCTGTTCTGTTAGGCCTGCACGAAGATGCCTTCCTGCAACTGACGGACTTAATGGCGCACAAGCGTCCCTGTTTGACCTTAGCTTTGGCCTCGTCGTACTTTTACCTCTATCCTCACGTGTCTGTGGGCTTGGTTCTCAGAACTGACACCACGTTTAATGCCTCTCTTAGTCTGCTTGTGTCGTGTATCACCAAACGCCGCCCATCTGGTCTAAAGTGTCTGCCACCGGCGCTTCCCCTCCTCCTCCTCCCCACCTTCCCATGCTTCACCCGTTGGTTTGCGAGGTGTCCATTGAGGTGATCGACTTCCTCCTCTCTGCCATCGATCCCATCAACTGGAGTTCCCATGACGACGACTGTGCGGACGCCTTGTGCGCAATTGAGTTGCTTACACTTCACCTTCTTGTCGCCGACTCACGCAAGTTCATAATCTCCTCTGAACTAAGCGAGCGGACCCTTCGATTAGTACGTCTGATTCAGACCTAATCCACCTGATGCTCGCCATATCATTTTTCTATTCACACGTATTTTATAGTTATCGTTGGTTTTAAAACGCACCCCGGAATCGTCAAAGTTGCACACAGCAGCACGCCGATGCATAGTTTCGGGTTGGCCTCTGATGGCACCTCGCACTACGGCCTCGCTCCTCGTGGCCCTCGAGTCGCAATTGGTTGCTGTTGGGGAACGCAATATCATGGTGCTTGACCTACTTCTCTCATCAATTTTAACGCATTTCGGTATCGAGACGGAAGGGGATAAGCAAGAGGATGTTGGGCTCCGTTTGCATCGAACTCTGATTGAACAATTTAGGCAATACTCGGATCGCTCTTCTGAGGTAATAGTTGCTTGCTTAGTAGCGTTAAATGAGTTCATCTTTACACGTATGACTTCAATTCGTTTTTTTTTCTTTTTATGCTACCGCTTTCAGGACAAGCCATTCTCGCTTTTGTCCCACTTGACAGCGTAAGTCTTCTTCCAATTTGCCACATGCCCCTGCCCATTTCGGTGGTTCCTTCAAAGTTCTTTTTTTTTCACATGACCTGCGGACCTTTATGTTACCACGAAACTGAGGAGTTCGTTCTTATAGTCACTTTAATAATCAATTCTTTTACCAACCAACGTAGGTTCATGTAATCAGGTATTATTTTTACTGGCTGATGTCGCTGGCGTGGTGGAAACTGGCGTAGTGGTCTCCGTGCACATTCTTCTTTCCTAACTTATGTTGCTTGAATCACATTAAAGTACCCATTGCAGCACATTAATATGCGTGAACCATTTGAGGAACGAGAAGCGTGGTGGACATCAACTACCCTGCTGCGCCTTTTTCTTTTTCTTCATCCCATTGCTCATCCATTCTTCTGTGCATCACCTTAATCCTCATTGACTCCTCATTGCAAATACGCACGCACAGCTCCCTACAAACCTGTCCACAAAGTAAGCCATCGGGTCCACCCTAAAAAGGGTAATTGATGTGCTGCTATCAACTGCAGTCCGTCTACGTCCTATGGGGATTGAGAAGTCTCCTGTAGGCGGCTGATGGTTGTCCTGAGTGTCCTCCGTCCCCTCAAAAGCCAGGTGTACTGTGGTGACCGCCTGCCAAGTTAACACTTTCGACCTTATCAATCAAAAAACGACCACCCACCTGACTCGTGCAATAGTGTTATTCCCGGTATCGCGCTCTCCTCTGGCTCGTAGCATCGGCGTCTATTGCCTGGATAACATTCCTTGTGTTTTGGCCTATCATGCTATGATTCGCTTCGTGCATTAACTCTGCGTGGGTTAAGGCTTATCTACTGCCGCTTGATGTTTTTTTCCCTATCCCGTAGCCTGGCTGTTCACACAGTCCCCTCTTATCATGCACCTCTGCGTTTATCCTGATCCTCACTAACCCCCATTACTCTGCACTCACCTACAGACGTTCCCAGTGGGTACTTAAACACCAGTGTCCTCCATTTGTGGCCTATTCGCCATGCTCCGGATCTAAACAGGTTTTCGTAAATGAGATGGTTTCTAGCAGGAATCTAGCATGGTGATTGATGGCCATCTTGTTTTCTACACGTTTTTGGCGTAAACATACACTGTTATTCCGACTTATCAGGCATCAGACATCCACATGCACACCAGTGCACAGTTGCTATCTGCTATCCCTGCTATTTCATTGGGCTAAAAATGACACCATTTAGTCGATGTTTCAGTTGCACTAATTTGCGAGTTAGTGTAAATATTGAACACAGGGCAAAGTTAGAGCAAAAATTTCCGAAGAAGCAGCTCTTTAAAGTTGGCCTGTCATCTACGTCTCAATTGTGGGGTGTTCCCTGCTTTCAGTGAGCTGTTCGCAGAGGCTTTGAGCAAGCTAAATCCTACCCAGCCCGAGGAATTGAGCCTCTGTAAGCCGTGTTTGCCCAGTGCGACGGTTGAACGACTTCTCAAATTCACCTTGGCTGCGCAAGACGAACTAACCAACCTCGTTGCCGTCTTACTGCGAAGACCAAAACAACCCGTGGAGCCATCCTCTCCAACCATCGACGATAGTGATCCTTGTGAGTGTCTCTTCAATTGTTGCGTGGACCATTTTGCAACGCTCACAGCCTTGGTTCTGCCTTCACTTGTTTTTGAGTGCGCTTTTATCGGCTTTTACACATACACGCATGCTGATAGGGCACTTTCGTGTCATGTTAAATTCAATCGACCGTCTCACTGACGATCGATAGAGTGTCATGTCCAAAAAATAAATTCCACGGAACACTGCCATTAATACTTGGATAGAGCTGGAATATGCGTTCAGGCGTCATTCGGGACAATTATCCACTAGTCCTCTTGATCGGGTCTCGTAGCACCACCAAGTAATGTCAATCAAAATACACCTGCGCTTTCCCGTGGTACTTGAGACCCCCATCCCTGAGAAGTTGGCCTAGCCAAATTTGAAAAAAAGCGTCATCGGGTGTGATTGCTGTTTGGATCGTCGATTTCAAAAATGCTGAAAAGGCTTCGAAGTTAGGCTGCTTTGTTTGGGGCTCAGTGTGTACGGATAGCTTCTAGCCCTCGTATCTAATGGACCTGACCTTTATCGAGGGGGTGTTTCGTTTTAATGACTCTCCTCTAGGCTACAATGAAGTTGACAAGCGACATTTAAGTCACCAACCACCTCTGTACTGACTCGTTTTTGGTAGATTGCTCACTGACCTGGAACCGGTGTCTATCTTCTAGGGGGGGTGTGAATCAACACTTGTTTCCTATTCCACGGTGTCTTCGTGTGCTTTTCGAATCTAGCATGGTCTGGATTTTGTCCCGTGGAGGATGATCTCAGTTGGGCAGTTATCACGTGTTTTGACGCAGACGTTGTCCCCAAATACGACAAACTTTCATTGGTTAAAAGCATTCAGAACGAAGTCTCTTTATTTGAATTTCGCCTCATGTCGTATTCAATAACCTCGCAAATAATCTTTATACTTTTGGTAATCTCATTGATAAAATTCCAATCAATAGTAATTATTCTGGTTTTGATTTGACGCCCCTAAGCAGGCTTGACTCCGTCTTCGAAGTAAGTGAATTTACGAATCGTAGTTTTTAGTTTTACATTCGTAGTAAAAATATCATTTTGATGACCGGCTAGTGCCTGTTAACACCTAGTTGATTTGCGTCTTTCGGGTTGTAGCGATTTTTCACTAGGTGAATGGGACGGTGACACAAGTTGTGCCTCTCGCAGAGGTCGTCTAATCTCAAACGCTTGTTGAAACAGTGACTAAATGGGGCATGAGGCGATAAGAAGATCGCTATCACATTCACAACCTAAGTGGTACTCATTTTCGAAGTACGGTCCGGCCCAAAATTCGTCGGATAAGTTGAAAAATTTAGGTGTTTGCCCTTAGCTATTAAAAACAAAGATGGCCAATTAGTATTAGTAACGCAATTGGATGAAGTTGTCCGATTCCAACGTGTGTGTGTGTGTGTGCATCAGTGCTCCGCAAGTTATGTACGATTTCCAATTGGTTAGTTTTGGTGAAATTAAAAATGTTTACTAATTGGGCATTTCTCCATTACTGGACATTTAAAATGGTTTATCTTTTCATCTCCAAATCGGCATGGCTTTTCGTGGACTTGGCGAGTCAATGTCCTGGACACTTTGGGCTTTGATCCGCTTACTTTTTGTTTTTACGTCTCGTTAGCTGCATTGACCCAATCGTCGAGAACCTGGAAGTCACGAGATTAGGCTTAGTATACTCTGTTAACGCGAAGTCTGCATGCATTGGTTAAAAGGCTCTCGTTTCGGCCCTGTGTCATAGCTCTTAAGGCGGCCCTTCATGTCTTGGCCACGCACTGTCGTCAGGTGAGAAGCGAGGCGCGCGGTCTGCTTCAACGCCTTTCTGACAGCCCCGACGCGGCCTCAATCAGCGTCCTCCTCCAATGCCATGGTCTAACCCAGTGTCTGCCACATCTTTCCCACGGTCTTGCCTGGCTCTACAGTGAGGTTTTTAAAGAAGGTGTCGTCGAAAGTGGGCAAGGCCATCTGCTAAAGCTCCTTCTCGAGATGGAGCTACCAAGGCTGCTGTGTGAGGACCTGCTTAGACCCTTGGATGATTTGAATTGTCTCTGCAAAGGCGCCGATGCCAGGGATATAGACGCTCTCTTTATGAACTCCAAACAAGGTAAGAGTGGTTGACTTGTATTGTTTACCCTCCGCCTGGATCGGTGATCATACTCGTTGATTATTGATTATTTTGTGCATTTTTATACCGCAGGAAGTTTTCCTGTTTTTTTATGTATGCCGTCAGTTGTGTCAACCATCGGCCAGTACACTGCTCCCAATTACTAAACTTCACCCTTCCGCAATATACCCACAGTTTATTTTGAGGTTTGCACGGTAAAATATCTCCCGTCGTCGTCATTTGCTCCATGTAAAAAGAGGCCTTGTTGAGGCGAGGTATTCGCAAACCAATAAAGCACTCCCGAAGATTTTATGATTTCCGAAAGTGAAGCACTACAACTACAGCGCTTTTCTCCTAAGTTGGCGTTTAATTTAAGGCGCAACCCAACTCCCAGGGTGGAGGCCAGCTCTGCCCCCCCGCAGGGTTTGTCTGTGGCATTCGTCACTCGAGACACCGGCAACCATTTATTCGTATGCGGAAAATGTGACATCCACGTCAATCAGTGAAGCTTCCTGATTGCACTGCAGCTGAAGGCAAATCAGCCATTTACTTGAACTTTTCTTTCTGCCCATAAATAATGGCGCAAATAAGAGAAGCGCTTGTGATGAGGAGGTGTCGATAGTTGGGTCTGTCATCTCTATGGTGTATCTTCGAGTTGTGTCTGCTAAATCTGCTATCTCAGTCGAACCCAAACACGTGTGACTCTATTAGCAGCCGAATACCCACTTCTTTTCACAACCCGCTGTTAGCAGATCTGGTTTTGTCTTGTAATTGCCGCCTCGTGTCCACCTTTGACATCAAACGTGCACTTCTGCGCTTATTGCTTTATTAGCCAAACATTGGAGAGAATGGACTCGACTAACTTCCAAACACCCCAACGATTTCCTCAAGCCAGCGCGAGATGAATCTCCTGATAGCCACTGTGTCGTCATTAATGATCTTGTCTACGATGTAAAAGGACTACAGGAGACATTCCCTGAGCTACTCCCCATCATCGATCTCAAAGGTACCCACAACCACTCGCATAACTCCCCGCTGGCGAGTTTACTCTTTTTTTATGCAGTCTGCGTTCATGCCTTTCTGCCTAGGCCTTGACGTGTCCACTGCCTACCGAACTCTCAATTTGTCCCTCGAAGCGCGACGATCGTTGGCGGCCAGGTGCCTGGGTCCTGTGGAGCACAACGCCCCCATCGACCTGCCGGCGCAACTGTACGACGTTGAGGCCTCCCTCGTGGTGTGCTACATGCAGTGGATAGAATCACTCTTTAACGTCTCAATCCCAGATTCTTGTCCCAACGCGCTGCTTTATTTTCCCTCCTTTAAAACCTACCGGCACAATCTACATAGAGTACGTGTTGCCTATCGCAGCACATCCCACTTAAACCTTTCAGTAGCTATTATTTTTGTTCTTTAGATTCCTTGCCCATTCGTGGAGGCGTTTATCGAGGGTCAGAATTTGCCCTTAAAACACTACATCATTGGTCGCCTACCTTTCCCGAGGTTGAAGAATGAACAGGAGCTGAAAGCCCTTGAAGAGTGCGTGGTGTATGCAGCCGCGGCCATGTTCTATCACACGGGCACATTGCAGTTCTTTCTCACCGAAGCAATGGCCGTCGAGCCTGACCTAAGCGGTGTGAAGCGATACATCCCCGTGCTGTCTCGGTTTATTCTAAAGTTGATCTACGTAAGTTACTTGCTCATATGCCCTGTCGTCTGCTCGAATTTCAAGATCTGTCTTGTGGTGGTGGAGCGCTTTAGAATCAGGTCCTGTCCTATCTCTTTTCGACTGTCGAACTTCCAGTTGGCTTAACACACAGTCCAGGTGAATCGACCACCTCGTCGTGTTGCATTGAATAGACAATCAAATGTTGTAACACGATTACCTACTTTCATGCTTGTTTTGCCTACCGTCATTCTCATTCCAGCTTCACCAATCAGGCGCGTTGTATGTGGATCTCCTCTCGGACATTCGTGAAAGATGTCGTCTTCTATGCACTCACCTTGAGCCGATCGTGTTTTCGCACGGGATCACTGTGGCCTCGTCTGACGTGCACCACCAAGGCTCTGGGGGCACGGAGCAGGACAGAGACATTGACGAGAGCTCGTGTCGCTCTGCTTCCGCTTCCTCCGCACCAGTCCCCTCGACCGTCCGCACGGCGGCCTTCGCTCCACCACCACCGCCACCACCACCATCAAAGTGGCACTGGGCCTATCAGCGACTGCGGTCTCGCATGTCCCGGCCTGAAAGCTTCCATCTGTGGTCAGGGCTGTTTGCGGCCTTGGTGGATTCGCGCAGTCGGGCCTACCTCTCGTGGCTCCATGGAAAGAGTGACCCCTCGGACATATTCGGGAAGACAATCGAGGACATATCGAGATTTTGCCTGGACACTTCCTTGGATTTAAAAGCGGTCGACACTGTCGTGAATACAGAATCTCAATTTCTTGTATGTCTGCATTCCTTTCCACCGTTTTGCCACGAAGCTGACATTTTGTCGAACCGAAAAGGTTGGCCAGGTCTTGGATTGTTAGTTGTGGTATTAGTTTGGTTTGTTGACGCATTTGGGGGGTAAACCAATAAGGCTATTGGTGTGGTGCTCTGAGTATTCCAAGCCAATTAACAGCCGTTTCTGTGGTTCTGAACTTGCCGGGTGATGCCAATTCGGACGACGGACCTTTCGACGTTCTGTTTAGGAGGAGACGTTTTCGCTGTGGAAGAAAGGCCTCAAGCACCTTGAGTGGGTTTTGCCCGTTCTTTGCACCAAAGCCCCAACGCCGTCGCCTCGGCCTCTCATGCCCGGGATCTCCTTGCTCGCGGCCACGCGGCTTCTGGCCACCAATAGCGGTCGCCCACATTTATTCGGTGCGTTGTCACTTTCGCCCCTTTTCTATAGCTTGCTCCTTCTTCAGACCACGTTTGTAGATTCCTTAACATTCAACTCTGTTCAGTTGATTAAACCGAGTAATCGGGGCGGTGTGTTTAATGAAAGCATCTTGGTCTCCTGCACATTTCATCATATTTTCGTCACACATAGGCCATTTCGGTCGCCTCACAATGATTACTTATTCTGACTTCAATGTACGCTGTATTTCCTCGTTTGTTTTATTTATGTAAAATTCATCCAAAGAACCACCCAAATACTGAGTTTTTTAGCCAATCCAGACTTGCTCAAATATGTTGAAATAACTAGGGCACAATGCCGATGCCATTGATCCTCAAATATCAATCGGAATTACTCATCTTTGTGACTACAGATCATTGAAAACAGGTTTCTGTAAAAACACGCTGAACTAGTGTATTCACAAGTTTACCCCTTGCTCTCTAGCCGTAAACACCGTGTTGTGGTGGAAGTGATTTTTCATGCGCGTACATTTTTAATGTTCCGCCGACTACGCTTATCTCAGTAGAGTTGTAGTTTTCTCCTGTACTAAGACCTTAAACCTGCGTTTCGGCAAAGCACCAGTCTGTAGCCAAGTGCTTGGACAGCCTCAATGCCGTCAAGCGAGGGTCGTTTCAGTTTTCAGCTTACCTCGGTGTGGGGGATCGCACTGCGTATAATCCAAACGGAGCACCGGCTCTTCTTAATCTGCGGCACACTCGTCATGGGTGTGCTGGGGATGCGCTCCAAGATGCCTCCCCCCCCCCCAACCCTCCGACACCTTTCTTCTACGTGGGGAGGTAGAACTGCGATATTGACATTACAAAAAAGCACCAGAATCGCTGTTTCTTTGGCAGTCGTGGCCTCCACTTGGTGGAACTTAAGACGCGCGTCCGGTGTGAAGTCCAGTGTTTCTCCTTCTCCCTCTCAGCCTTATTAATGCCTCTGCACAATGCACACAACAAGTTTTAAATTTCTTTGACATGAATTTTATCAAAAATATTCTGCCTTAGCCAATATGATTCTGTCACAGTTAACCAGATACCTTCATTCTACGTCCAATTTCTGCCGAGCATGTGTAAAAAATTGGAGATTAGCATTTATTTATGTTTGTGGATCTTTTTTTGAAAACGTGCGTCAGTCCGCCTCATTTCGGAGCGGGCAACTCGCACACGAACTTCTGCCCTTCCCTCTCCTCCCAAACTAGCCGTCGACCACAGATCCCCGCCGAGTTGAGATTGTTTTTTTGGCCACTAGACCCGGTCTCCGTAGTCATGGTTTTCTTTGCTGTAGATGACAAAATCAGTAAAGTCCTCGAATGCCATCTTCCATCGCAACTAGAGCAAAGCTTCGTTGCTGCACGAGGAGACTTCGTTGCCAACCTCCTGCAACGTCTGCGAGATCTTTTGATCAAAGCTGAGGATTTCCTAATCGCGAGCATCTGCAGCAACACGCCGAAGCCCTTTTGTTTGGAAGATTTCATCAACACAAAGGAGATTGTGCTGTTGCTTCAATGCCTGTCGGAAATGCTCGTGCAGATTGGTAGCTTGGATTCGCCGACTCTCGCTCTACACAGAGCTTCCTTCTTTGCCCTCCTTCAAAAGCTGGAAAAATTGACGAGTGAGTGGGTTACTTACAGCCTGTGTGCAATCTGGTCACGTGGATGTTTAGCCCGACATTTAAACCTAGGTCATACTGCTCACCACGCATTCAAAATTTTATCATTTTAGTAATCGTGGGCCCAGAAGAGCAGGTTGGTTGCATGGTTTTAGGTATCTCGCCTCAAATCGCCTATTTCGGTGTTTGTGCTAAGGGTTTCCCAATGAAATATTGTCTTTCCAAACACCCATTCAGGCTAGGTTGTGCTAAATCAATTGCAAGATCTACACGGAAGTTACTGCAAATGTAGTTTGAGATCCCTAAGACCATTGTGCCTCTGTTATCTAACCCCACTGCTTCTCCATCCAACTTGATGCCTTCATCAGCTGGTGGTCTTCCTCGGCGTGGCGGCAAGTCCTCGCTTCGACCCTTCGTGGAGCGCATTTCAAGTAGATTTGTTCTAACTGTTGTCTCCTCTTCAACAATGCTTCAACCTCGACTCTACACTGCAGCTCTTCAAATGTTGGTGGCTCGTTTGCACATGTGGAACACCGTCGACGGCATTCATGGTAATTTGTTGGTTCTGAAAATTGCATCAATTCGGTTTAACACCTTTTACAAGTATTTGTTAATGCAACCTGACACCGTGCGGACGAATATTTGGTGGTGTCGTCTTGCGGATACAATTTTTGCTTCCCTTGCCTTCTTTTTGTTTCAGCGAATTCTAAGCTTGTGGATACACTCTCAATGACACACAGTCTGCTTCGCTGCTGTCGTGAATGTCTGCACCTAGAGAGACTCTTTACTACCAGCACTTGGCGACAGTGTCGTGCAGAGATTTTCAAAATCTTCAAAAGCTCCTGCTTCAACATCTTCACGCACTACGAGGCCGGACTCTCCTTGTTCTCCTGCGACAATCTTTTTAGTTATCAAGCAGTGGTAAGTTCTTCTCGCTTAGAAGACTAGCTGCGTCTGCTAACCAAAAATCTCGTACTCGTTATTCTCATTGAAAGTAGTTGGGGTCGTGTAGATCCACCTCCTCACTGGTCACCGATTTGGGGTGTTCAGACGGCAACCTTTTGACTGTCTAATCTTAAAATAGGGCTTTTTGCCTAACGGTGGAGCAACATGAACGTGAGTCATGCAGGTAGTGATAGCCTCATCGATTGTTGCTCGAATAAGTCTACCTTTATCTTCAAAAAGTGTGGAATTCCTAATGTTTTTTTGCATTTCTCTTCACCGATAAGGCGTTTTAGTGGTTACTCTGTCATTACAGCTCGTCAACGTGACAAGTCGCATCGATGATCTGCTTTTTTTGTTCTTTTCCTTATCACGTAGATTCTCGCTGCGCAGACGCTGGGATCGGTCCTTCCGAACTCGCCACCAGACATCGAGATTGGGTTGTCTCTCTGGTCTACCCTCCAGGCGGGTCTGTTCATA